AACTCGACTAAACTAAGCTACTACCCAAGAGATAAATAAATCCAAGAGGTAAATAAAACATGTATTGGTAAAATATAATTTTATTAAGTGGTTTGTGCTGGTGAAGATTCTCAGTCATTCCAAAAAAAGTAAAAAAAAACAATCCACTGGACTTTGTTTCCAAGTTTGAAGATGTTTCGCTTCCCATCCATGAAGCTTTTTTGATACAAAATGTCAGAAATTGCGTTCAGTTTCAGGCTTTATACAGAAGCTCAACAAAGCTTTGTTTTTGTTTAGAAAACATGCAAAATGAAACGGATGAACAGGTCCACCCCTTTGGAATGGGGGTCAATTGGCTTCTTTGTTAGCCTGCAAAGACTCATACCTGTCTATGTCAACGAAAGGGAGGCGGCGACAATTCCCTTTAAATCGAAAAATTCTAGCACGACTGGAAAATCGTCCCAAAAAGGACAAAAAATCCTCCAGCGTATGCCCGGCTTTAGCCTTTTGATCGATCTAAAGATTCTGATCCTTGGCCTGTGGTCTTCCATCTTGGTATTGATGCGGCGTGCTAAGAATCAGCCGCAATAGAGGATGAGGCGAGCATTGAAAGCAGCCACCAAGCACGGTGGCGGGGCAGGATGCAGCAGTTAGAGAGGAGAGTCCAACATTATAAAACTGCATCCTTGTTCATCAATATTCAACGTTAAAATCAGCTTAAACATCTGTTCTTATGTCCAAAATTAAACTCACGTTCAGGAACAGGCTGGTGGTTCATTAGCTTTTTGTTTCTTTTCCACAGTTTGACTCTTGGGTCCAATTAAAATTGATAAATTCAACAAAAGCTGCAATAAATAAAATAGAGCGCCGCTGTAAAGATGGTCCCCTGCTGGATAATTACAATGTGTCTGTCGATCTCTACAGCCAAAGCACATCAGCAACAGTGAGCAGAACCGAGAGGTTCTGGGAGATCTGGATCCCCTGACCGAGTACTGCGTACAGGTCCACATCAGAACCTTAAAGAAAATGAACCACAGCGAGCCCAGCGACGTCATCTGTGAGAAAACCGGCCCCAAAGGTAGGCGCCTTGGTTTGTTTACAGGCGGACGTCCTGCCAGGATGCATTACTGTCTGCAGCCAGAGATAAACGACGATTCGTCTTTAATGAGGTGAAATATTAGAGTTACCGTATTTTCACGACTATAAGGCGCACTTAAACGTCTTTTTTTTCCCTCAAAATGTGCG